GATTGTTATAGGAAGACAGTGCTGCCCTTGGAGATATGCCCTATACGTATTTCGTTGGAAATCGGTGAGATATGTGATTTCTATACCGCACTGACAGGGTTTTCTTTCAACTCAGATTTCCCACTCTCTCAACGGCAGAGAACTACAGGTATTGGAAGGACCGGGGCATCGATCGCTTGATGCCTCGCGTATTTCCGATCAAGTTGCCCGAGTGGAGAAAATTGGATCCTAGATTCAGGTGAACTAAGACACTTCTGCTCTAATGATGGAGTGTGGAGTCTAATATTCTTGTTGATCATAGTTCACTCCGAAGTTGCTCATCCCGTTCTTGGATTTGTGGTTGTTGTGGTATGCGTAGACGCCTGCTTAGTCCGATTTTGTTGGAATGCCAGTGATTGTTGGTCACGGTGGTATGAGTCGTCTTCTTTCAGGGAGTATCTTTTCTTCCTTCATTCGTTGGATCCCGCGAGGTTCACTATCAGTCGAATAGCAGAGAGGTGAGAGAGCAAGAACTTGTATTCATGCCGACCGCAGCTGTTACAAGATATGGTCTCCGGGAGAGGGATGTTCGAGTGGCGATCAAACGCTATGGTGCTGGATACTACCTCTGCCGGACTGGCTTGACAAAGCTGAAGGATAAACAAGAAGATCGGACTGAGAAAATTGAACTGGCGAAAGAGCAAAAGTGAGGGACACATTCTATGGTTACGGAATTAGTCGGTTTTACCGTCCATGCAGTCTTCCCTTCATTGACCTGCGTTCTTCACAGTTTTGCTAAACACGTTGGATACGATGTGGTTGGTCACCAAGGTCACGATCCGGAGTCTGACGACGAGTTCGAAGGATGGAGGAGTCTCAAGGACTGGGTCCGTCAGCAGTCAGTAGAGGTTAGTTCCGAGGATTCCCCAGGCGGACTGGTATCGTCCTTCATCAGGTGGGGAGTATGTCGGCTTTCCCGATGCCGGCAAAGAGAGATCCTCTGCCTAAGCGAGTGGACATCGATATGGTGGTCCACAATGATAGTGAGTGTCAAATTATCAACTGGATAGATCCACATGACAAAGTGACTTTCTGATGTTGAAGTTTCTGATGCCAAATAATCGTTTCAAGATATTTGGGTGCCGTGTGATATAGTGTCAGTCAGTGGGTACTGATATGAGAGGAGTAGCACAAGTAGATGTCGTGATGTCAGTCTGATACCTGACATTGTCAGATGCTGATTAAAAAGACTCCAGTACTGTGAAATCAGCTTTCCATGATATCGCCAATTGATTCCAGGAAAGAATAAATATCCGATGAGCTAGGTGACTTATTTGAGGACAAGATAAATAAATATGTCAGCTGTGGGGTTCGAACCCACGCGGATCTCTCCACCAGAACTTGAGTCTGGCGCCTTAGACCACTCGGCCAAACTGACGGATGAATCAAGGCAATTGAGGCAATCCAGTTAGGGACATAACTACTAGATTCACATTATTCGCGATAATCATCGAGTTCATCTGACATCAGTCCTAGCCAAGTTTATGACGTCGAGACTTAATTCTTGCATAGGAGTGATGTTCCGTGCTGCATGCTGCGGTAAAGTCCACTGATGATCCTCGTGACGCATCGTCACGGTTGTTAGAGTGAGGCTGTCAGCCACCTATCCGCGTCTATCAATCTCCATAGGGACCTCTGCGGGCTGATGCGTTTTCGACGGTTACCCTAAACAATGGCCTTTCAAATTCGATGCTCTTCTTGAGGCGTGCATGCGGGCTCGGCCGTGCGTGATAGAGTCTCAAGGCTATACAATCTGTGAATCAGGCGGTTCGGCGAATCATACGCTACAAGAATAATTTGGGCGCGGTCTTCCTCTACGCTGAGAGATAGGGAAGTTGAGCTCTGCATAGTACGTTATTGAACACTATGCGTGCATGGGTGACTCTAAAATCCCAGAGAAAGGCATCTCGCTTGCCCGCATGGCTTCGGCCTCATGTGAAGACATACCAAGCATTAGGCCCCGCCAGAGGCTCTCTAACATAGTTCTTCAACCAAACCCTCGAAGCCTTATTGAACACTTTGCAAAGATCCGTTCCCACAGAATAATGTGTGTCATCCATCTGTCTAATGATAGTTTTCTGGGGAGACTCTGATGTACATCACATCACATCTGCCGGCCAAACCGACTACTTCCCTTCCGAACGTGGCTTGTGCT